CGGGGATACTTAGATGAAGAGTGGAACAGACAAGCTAACTTGACCGGTTAGACCTCCAATCGATGCCTTGGCTAGTTCAGTCCAACGAAAGAACTAGGTTTAGTAAAACATAGTTCAAAATCAATATTTGGCTGAATGTGGCAGGTTCAAGCATCTAGGTTTCACTGGTTTGATTGGTTAAATAAGGTCAAAAAAAAAATTATAATATGGCTCCTTTCTTTTTAAGATAATTGTCCATCTTTTCACTTATTTTCTAAAAATTCAGATCAATCAATTCGACTTATGGTTCGGCCTATTTCAAACTGGATCAAACCCCTCTCCAATTCAATAGCTAGTCTAATCCCAATGATAGTTATAAATGTTGTAACTGTCCTTTTTAAGATTTTTATAAATCATCTTGATATAAAGTTTTGAGGTAACCTATTCTTATAGGGGCATGCCCAAAATATAAAAAATAATATTTCTTTTATAAAGTAAAATAACTAAGTACCTCTAAAACTTACGTGAGTATTTTAGGTACTTTGTTTTATAAAAGAAAAACTTTTTTAGGTATGCCCCTGTGAGAATAGACATGTCTTAAAAGGAATTTTTTGTCAAGATGATTCATACAAATCATTAAAAATAGAATACGCTAAGTCGTCTGATCAGACAATGAGAGGCTAATTTGTCACATTGAGACTGAAGCAATCCCAGCCATTTATTTAAAGCATGCAGTTGCGCAGGACAGACAACATATATAATTTATACAAGAGAGGAACATATAGTAGGATTTATATTTTATACAGCCCTAGATGGGAATTGTGGACTTAAACTCTCCATGAAACTTTGGTGAGAGTAGAAATACCCTTTACACTACAAAAGGATGGATTTTTTTTTTTTTAATTATTCAAAAAAAAAAAATTGACACTATTCAACTGTGCAGCACTGTTTTTCATGTTTTCATGACCAAGGAAAGGGGGCCAATTTATCGTTTAACGAACTTCTACTTTCATGGGTGACACTATACAACTACCCTTCATTTTTCTAGGGTTTTTTTTGCGTGGGGAGCAGAAAGGGAAAGGAATGATGGAAGGAACCTTCACTTTTCGTTTTCGAGAAGAACTCGTTACCAAACAAGCCCAACCTTTCTAAGTCAAAAAGATTGTATGCAAATCTTGCACTCACTCTTGTGAATAAAATCGTTTAAAGGCACAGGACCCTAAACCCTACATTGTCGAATGTAATCTCCTCAGCCTAGTGGCTATTCTCAATAAATAAATAAAATTGCATATGCACTTCATGTATCTACTTGTCCTACGATTGAATAGAGATTGTCTAATTTTTGGATGGTCAACTCTATGCGTTCGGAACTTGATTTTCCCTTTTGTTTTTTTTTTTTTCCAAATACACTCATCTAGAGATAGTAAAAAAATCGGATCGAACGAATCCTCGTATATATGTATTTGCCCAAGGGAGTAAATGTATAATATGCGACATGTGGGAGTATGCCACTCTCTCTCACATATCTTTTAAACAAGATAATCTGTAGTGTCGTCCTGTGGGAGCACGCTATATGCTTAAATCTCTTATACTTAAGACATGTTGAAGATGATTTTCTTGAGGTGAAATCCACTACAGAATCATGATATGAATATGTTTAGAAAGTGAAAATAGTTTTTGAGTTCTGAAGTACTTATATCTGAAACAAACCAAAAATTGGACGGTCGCTATTCAACCCCCGAGGTGTTTTCTTTTGATAGAGTATATAACTTTTTCCTTATGTCAAAATTTGGTCTAAAAAATTGTTCAATAGAATCTAAAATGGAGTTCTGAACTATATAACCAAAGTTTAATGTCTAACCTAAGTTATTTTCATTATCATCCAAAACCCTAAAAGACACCCTTTGCATTTCCTTTTAAATTGTGAAAATTAAAACCTGAGGATTATAACTTGGAAAATTGTTTCATGGGAGCGAGGACCACATTTTTACCTTTGCAATCCTCCAGGTATAAAGCATCCATCCTAAGAATGGATGCAAATAGGTAGTCTCTTTTAAAACGATCGAAACCAATGATTCAAACGTTTTTTTAATCTAATTATTATTTTTAATTTTCAAAATTTATTTACTTTTCATATTCACGATCTACATGTTAGGGACTACATGTTTTTAAAAATTAAATTCAAAAATCAATCTCAAAAATAGATTTTTAAAAGGTAAACTCATTTCTACATCGACTCACAAAAAACCGTGTCCTTATAACTTACATTAAAAAACTAAGAGACAATATTTAAGTCCTACAACATGAGAGAGAGACATAGACTTTGCTTTTGATGCAGAGACCCACGTAGTATATTGTCCTTGTGGGAAATAATAGAAATTTTGTTCTCATTGAGAAAATATACGGTACAAATGGATAATTTGATCAAATAATAATGGGAAGAGGACCACCAATTTTCTTATAAATGTGAGTGGAAGACCAATGATTCGTCCTCTTACCTAATGATTTTGTGTTAATCCAAGGATTACTAAACATAAATCCATTGCACATAGGATTCCTAGTGTTCTTTAATAGGGGCCCCTCTCTCTCTATATATATATTTATATATAAATGTGGACACGCATATCCATTGATTCTGTTGTGTTTGGGATGGTTTTTAATAATAGGTGGACTGTCGGTTTCAAACTTTTGGTGTTAAAAACGTTTGGGGCAAATTACCAAAATGCCATGCAAAAATAAGTATTGAAAGTAGTGGGGTATTAATGGACCGTCTAAACTTCTACCAGTTATAATTTTGACTGAGCTGCCACTTTCATTGAAGTGGTGATGCTGTTCCTTTCTGCTTGTATTGAAGTGATAATAATGCCCCTTTCTTTTTTGTACAATTATCATAAGAGAGAGAGAGAGAGAGATTTTAGCCAGGAGCTGAATTTTCTTGTACTAGAGAGAGAGAGAGAGAGAAAGACGTGTCGTAGGGCTGGAAATGGATCGGCCTAGCCCGGTTTTGGTCCTAGTAGAGCCTGCCCAAGCCTTCCCCTTCTTGGATTTGGTTGAAGAAGTCCAAGCCCAGGTCTGGCCCTAGCCCTGTAAAGCTCAAGGCCTGGCCCTAGCCCTGTAAAGCTCAAGGCCTGGCCTTGGCCTTCCCTGTCCATGCGTTTGGAGAGAGAGAATATGTCTGTATGTGTATGTGTATGTCTGGGAAGAGACATTTTGTGGACTTGAGAGAGGGAGTTTTGTTGCATGGAGAGACATCTTGCATAGGATCAATGTTTGAAAAAACAGATTGATGGGGTAGATCAATCACCTCCAATCCCGGTCTGGATAGGTGATGCAGACCATTCTTTGATTCATCAGAATCGCGATATAAATAAAATAAAAAACAAATGATATCAGATAAAAATAAACATAGAGATTTATGGGGTGGGAATTTGGGGGAACAAAAAAGACATTAGATAAGTTTAAAGTAAAAAAAAATTGGAAAAGGGGTTTTAGGAGGGATACCATTCAGAAATCAGTTCGGCCCCGACAAATTATGAATCTGAATCAACGACTTGGATCGAAAATAAGTGGATTTTAAAACACTGCATAGGATAATGGGGGTCAATTGGAGAGAGAGAGAGAGGGGAAGAGGTGCACATTGCATGGGAAGAGAGAGGAAGGGATGCTAAGAGTTTAGGCCCTGTTTGATTTTTGGGAAATGGATCCTGGGGAGATGCCTATCCTTGAATTGGCATCCCTTGGAATTGGCATCTCATATAATACAGATTACGGCATTTTGTAAGATACGTGTACACTATTTGGATCACTCGAAAGACACACCATTCCCAAGCCCATTTCCAAATAAATGGATCTCCCAGAGACCCATTTCTAGGGAACCAAACAAGCCCAGTGAATAATTCAGTGAGAGAAGAGTTTGGGGTTGAATAATTCCTTGAAGTGGATGGCAATTTAGCAGCAAACAAATTTGACTAGGCCACGCCCATCGACACCCTCCACCCCCCCCCCCCCTTCCCTTCAAAATAAATCATTCCTTTGACTTTGAAATTCCATTTTCAAATTCAAATTTTCACAAAATTTAAAACTTTTTTCATTTGTTTGAAACACCCTATCACTTCTCCATATGACATTGTCATCCCAAACCAGTTTAACATGCCAAATTACTGGTTCTCCAATAAAAATGGCCATTTTGCCCTTTCCTGTTGGAGTTACCCTCAATCCTATCCCAATTTTCCAACATAAATGAAACAAATGCCTCAAAATAGTCAAATTTTTCTTCATGACAATGATGTGTGTTGGATCTCAATAAAAATTTTGAAAAAGTTGGGCTCAAGTTAGAGCTTATCTAAAATTCAGGAAATTTAATTTGGCAAGCTTTTCATATTTCTCCATGTAGATATAACTTATACGTACCAAATCTGATTTAATAGATAGTTAGAAGTGAGTCGACTATAATATCATACATAAACTAAATATTTTTTTAAATTAATTTTTATTATAATATCCAAGCCAATTACAAGAAAAGATTTAAGAGATGGGAGTGGGAAGCACTTTATTGCCATGAGGGGTATTTTGGGATATTTCAGAAAGTATGGAGGGATTATTTGGTAATTCTTGAAAAAGTTCGGTTTATTTGATGCCACTTATGCTTTAGTCTTCTCTCTCCTTCCTCTCTCTCTGACTTTCTACCTGTATTCCCTGTGGGGTCAGTTAAACTCTCTCTCTCCTCTCTCTCTTTCTCTCTCTCTCTCGCCTCTTTCTTCTCTATTTTCTGTAACATGGGATTTTTTGGCATTCTCGAAGAAATTCGGGTCGTTTGATGTCAATTCTCTTTCTCTCTCTCTTCTTTCTCTCTCTACTTTCTTCCTATATTTTTTTTCTTCTCCCGAGACGCGGGTATCGGATTTATGTACTATTAAAAAATTCTGGCAACGAACACGCAAATCCAGATGCTTCGAAGTAAAGCAGAATAGATCCCATAACCGCCTGTGTTGCTTGCACGATCTCTCAAGGAAGGTGAGCTTTCTTTTTAATTTGATTTTCTTTATCTTTTTATCAGATAAAAACTGGGTTTTCTTTCAAAGAACGACTTTGAATCCTTCAATGTTTCAGACCCATCATTTTCTTTTCTTTTCTTTTCTTTTATATGGTACAACAGGTTGCAGAAAGGTGTTCTTTTTCTGGTTTTTGTGGTACCATTTTTATGGGTTTTCTTTTTGCTGAGCCTCAAATCATTGGAAAAGGGGGAAAATCATGGGTTTTCTGGTTTTTTGAGAAGTGGGTTTGATTTAAGAGGTCCTTTTCTTTTATTTTGGATTGAGAGTGGTGCAGGTTTTGTTGGGTTTTGTGATTTAGTCATTGGTTTCGTTTTGAAAGGAGATTTGCAGATTTCTCTTTTTTTTTTTTTGGTCTTTCTTGGGTTTGAATCACTGATTCATATGTTGGAATTGGAATTTCTCTGTTTTCTACAATCTTTCATGAGCGTGGTTTCTTTGATTTAGGGATTCTTTTGAGAGGATTGATCTTCTGCCCAGGAATAAAAGTATGCAGGTTTTAGCAACTTTTCCTAATTTTTCCCTTTTCTTGTGGTGATTTCAACCGTTAGACGGGACTTTTTGGCTGGTGTTGTTCATTTTGAAATTGGTTTCACTTTCCAGCTTATATGTGCTCGACTCATAATCTGTTTTGAATTGAATACAGGAAAGTTTGAATCCTCAAGGTAATTAATGCAATTTCAGAGCTATCTCATTTAGAGCTATTTTTTTGAGTATTTGGTAGGTTTTTCTTTCTTTCCTTCTTGCTTCTTTTCTTTCTTTTATCTTACTTTGAATAAAGTTTTACTTGATTAACATTCTTTTGCTTAACTTCATTTTTCAGTGATTGCTTGAAGCTCGCCATTGCTTTTCAGTGGAATTTGGAGGCTCAATAAATCAAAGTAAGTTTTCTTTAGTTCTTTCTTTCTTTTATTTTCACATTTATTTATGTCATCTGAGGACATATTAAGGTGGGATCTGGTTGGCATCAAAGATGGACATCTTGGTTTGATTGTTTGATAGGGTTTTTCACACATTCGGTTTTCATGGGATTATATAAACCAACATAAGCTCTCAAAAAAATGAATGCAATGTGCAGAAAAAAAATAACACGAATGCAATGCTTTTGGTGTTCTCTCTCTCTCTCTCTCGCTCTCTTTTTCTCTCTCTGATGGATGATTATAACTTCTCTCTCTCCCTCTCCCATTTGAGAGATGAATTTGATCATGTTTCTTCTCTGTCAACCATCTGGTTCATAAAGCTGGAAACAGCATTGCATTACCTCTAGTATCCATTGGTATGGCCCCTTCTATAATTGTTAGAAATTCAAATATATTTCTATTATTTGTGTTCCATTACCTTGAATTAGTACTCTGTAGAAATTGCTTTGTAAATGTTATACCTCTTCGTTTTAATCGTAGAATAGAATGTGATTGTCAAGGTTGCATAGCCTTAAAGATTCTCAGGTTTTTTTTTGCAGGATTCTGTTGATAGTGGGTGTGAGAAAGAGAATTTCAGCTCTTGTGATTTCTAGTGTGAGAAAGCAAACATCAGCGTGCCTCAACCATCAGTTTTAATAGCACGTAACAGATGGAAATGAGTGATGTTTCAATGAGCTCTGAGAGCATCAAGTCTAGTGGAGCAAGCATAAGGAGACATTCGGCAGGGAAAGCCATTACCAGATCTTCGTTATCTCCCCTTGAAACTGGAGAAAAGCTTCTTCCCCATTATCTCAGAGCTTCTACTAGTTCTTGCCATGACTTCTGCAAATATGGCCGAAAAAATGCCTTTGAATCCAAAGAAAAACACCCCATCCCTCCTCTTCTCAGCAGAAAACCAGAGTCCCCTGTCCAAGTCCAAAGCCCTCTTGTCAATTCAAGCTCCAATGAGAGGAAGAACAAGAAACCACCTATCAAGCTTGAGATTACATCCTCTGTTGAAATAAACTCTCTCTCCCCCAAACCCAAGCCATCTCTATCTGCCAAACCCAAGCCTTCTCTCTCCCCTAAACCCAAGCCTTCTCTCTCCACCAAACCTAAATTCAATGCAAAACCAAACCCCATGTTGATTAAAATCCCATCACTGAAAGTTTCAAGGATTTCAGTGAATAGGCTCAATGAGAATAAGAAAGTTAAGAGCAGTGAGACTAAGATAGTTAAGAGCAAGGACTCATCAACTGTTGAAGACAAGAAAAAACCCAAAGCAGTGACTTCCCTTTCACCTTCTATCAATGGAATCATGAGAGAGAAGAAGCAGCTTAAACCAGTGACCCCAACCTCACCTTCCAAGAGTGTTGGTAGTGGAGTTATTTTAGAGAAAGTAAAACCCAAACCAGCGAAATCTTTATCTTCGCCTTCCTCTGGCAATCAAGTTATTTCAGAAAAGAAACTCAAACTTGTAAATTCTTTATCTTTACCTTCCTATAGCAATGGACTTATTTCAGAGAAGAAAAAACCCAAACCTGTAAACTCTTCATCTTCGCCATCCTCTGTTAATGGAGTTACAGCTCTTCGTAATGGAATTATTTCGGAGAAGAAAAAACCCGATCCTGTAACCTTTTCATCTTTGCCAACCTATGGTAGTGGAGTTACACGTCTTCTTAAAGGAGTTATTACAGAAAAAAGAAAATCCACGCCTCTAACTTCTTTGCGTTCTTCAGCTAATGGTATTGGAGGCTTGAGAGAGACAAGGCAGCGTACCATGAAAACTTCTCCTTTGAATAAAACCTCAATTGAGAAAAGCAAAACCACAGTTGCCAAAGATCCCGCTACTCCTAACAAGAATCAAACAAACGCCAATAGTGGAAGAAGTCCCCAAATTAGCAGGAACTGCCACCAAATTAACGGAGCAAAGATAAGTAAGAACACTTCTCTTGACAAGAAACTGGAACCCCAATTAGCAGAGATCGACCACCTTCAAACCATAGATAAATTGTCCCCAACTTCTTCATCTCCTCCATCACCACCATTAGCTTCACCTCCATCATCTGAGAATTTGGAGCAAGAGGAGCTAGAGCTCTCGGATTGGGAGGAAATTGAATCTGATTCTCACTCTGAAGAAGCTCAACATGAAAATAGTGAGGATGGTGAAGTGGTAGAAAGGGAGAGTGGGGAAGGGAAACAATTCAGAAGAGAGAGAAGGGAAAGAGTGATGAACAATGAGAACCAAGATTGTGAGCCGAGGAAGATGAAGTTTAGAAGAGGAAGAGTGATCAGTATTCAGCCTGAGAATAATGGACCAAGAAGATTAAGGTTCAGGCAAGGAAGAGTGTTAGGGGAAACACCAGATGGTAAGGGTTATTTTGGGAGGAGGAGTTTCAGGAGAAGAGATAGTGGTGGGGGTGGAAACTCTCACTCTGAAACCCGAACTGTTGTGCTAAGGCATCAAGATGTTCAGGGAAGAAAAGATGGCCATGATTTGTTGTTGAACCATGTGATAGAGGAGACTGCAAATAAGCTGGTTGAGAGCAAGAAGAGTAAGGTGAAGGCTCTTGTTGGGGCCTTTGAAACTGTGATTCATCTTCGAGATGGTAATCCAGTAGATGCTTGAGCTTTAAATGGGGATGGGTGTCTCTCTGCCGTCATAACTATGATTGATTCGTCTCTAAGATGGTATGCAGGTAGATATCGCTTGAGTTTTGCATCTCTCTCTCTCTCACTTTTTGACAGAATTTTAGGTGCTGAGAACGTTGTGCCTTTCCCTCTCGCCCTCGCCCTCGCCCTCGCCCTCACCCTCGCCCTCGCCCTCCTCATCCCCATCCCCCCAAAACAAAACAAAAAAAAAACAATGAGAAGAAGCCTTCAAATCATTTTGACCTGAGAAGTTTGTGCTCTCTCTCCCCCCCCCCCACAAAACACACACACACAATCCATGACAAGAAGCCTCTGAATCATTTTGAGCTGAGAAGTTTGTGCCTCCTTCTCCTCTCTCTCTCTCTCTCTCAATCCATGGCAGGAAGTCTGTAATATCTTTTTTACTTGGAAAGTTTGTGCCTCTGCCTCTCTCCCTCTGGTGGGCAGGCTTCCTTGTACGACTTGACTTGTAGAGAGATTGTGACTCTGTCTCTATGCACATCTGTCTCTATCGAGTGCATTTATTTGTTCAAAAAAGTTGACATGTAATTATGTCCAAGATTTCAAGGTCTAAAGATTTGTGCTTGGAACTTCTTCCCAGATCTGTAAAAAGTTTGGGTTTTTGACATATAAATAAGATATTTGAGTTTATGAGAAAGAGCCCCAGGATACCGGGTGGACACTAGGTATAAATTGTTTTGAGGAATGCATATCAAGTTGAATAGAGGCTGCGATATATCTCATGATTTTGTTTGTTTTTATTGTTGAAAGGAACATTACATTTGTAACAGATCTGCAAATTTGGTCATTTATTGTTGTGTTTCCCTTTTCTAATCTACCATGTTTCCTTGTCGATCATTTGTGAGAGAAATCACACAAAAGGCCACAGATGGTCACTCTCAGAGAGAGAGAGAGAGATTTACCAGCATTCACTAAATATGATATTTACATTTTAAGTATTGATTGAGATTTGTGGGTGATCCCTATTTGAGAATTGCGACCTTCCCCGCTGGTTTTCTACCAGAGACAGTCTTCTTAACAGCCCCAACTGAGACCAGGAATTCGTCAAGAGAAGAGAGGGTTTTCATGTCATCCGGGGGGAAGTAACTTGCTGCCTTGCCCATGAGAGAGGTGAAGAGTAGGGAAAGAGAGGGTCTTGATACATAGGGCTCACCCAAGAGCTCGTCTAAGAAACCAAAGGCAGTGAGGAAATCTGACCTGGTTGCAGCCACAGGAGCTGTGAAATGGGCTGGTATTATCCTCTTAAATCTCCAGTTCTTCGCTATGTAATCAATCCAATCCCAAACCTGCAATTTTATCGTGGTCATGAGAGACTATCAACTGATTAGAAAGGGAGAGATCCAGCCGTGACATGGGCAAAAAAAATGATGGTGTACCTGTTGAGGGTGTGTGTCTGTGTGTGTGTGAGAGAGAGAGAGAGACTTTGCTGAATACCCATGGTGTGTGTCTGTGTGTGTGAGAGAGAGAGACTTTGCTGAATACCCATGCCTTGACAATTGGACAAACAATCAGCTCCTGTAACATCTGAACAAACCTAGCGTTGGTTTTCAAAAAGCTTGAACACCCTAAAGACAATTTTCTCCTGTGTGTGCGCGTGTGAGAGAGAGAGAGAGAGGACCTTTTCAGGAACTTTACTAAATACCAATGTCTTGACAATGGGAGAAACAATGAGCTTCTGTGACATCTGAGCAAAACTGGCATTAGGTTCCAAAAGATTTGAAGGCCCTAAGAACAGTATTTGGAGAACCATTCTCTCCCATCCTGCAACAACCAAAGTATATAATTGGTTACATGTAAAAAAGTTTTTACTGATTCTATCCTTCTTCAATGAAGACCCCGACAGCAGTATCTCTAGTACTAACATTATCACATATAGGTGATGAATATAAAAGGGAAAATTTGATGGTAAAAGAACAAACCATGTTGCTCAAAATTATGACTTTATCAACATTAAATAGAATACAATTTTGTAAAACATGGATTCTGGTCGGGCTTTGCCAGGGTCCTAAGCCCGAGTCAGGTCCGATTGACTCAGCTGAATCTGTTAGACTACTCAGCAGAGCCAAATCAAAAAAAATAAAATAAAACAAAATAACTTATCGGGATCTGGCCAGACTTGGCTAGGTCCAATGTGTTTGGTTCCAGAATCAGCAGTCCACCCAGCCTGTCTAACTCAGGCAAAGCCCAAGTTGGACTTGTTAAGCTTCCCAAGACTGATAGAATCAATGAAGTATGAGGTCTCATGAGTGGAAAAGTAGTTTCAACTATCTTGACCACTATAGAAGACAACTACAAGGCCTATCAGATGGGAAACCACAACACGATTTTAAGAATGTGCTCATATATGTCTGTTTATGTGTGTGTGTGTGAGACCTTTTTGGCGATTAAACTTGTTATCTACAACTGGTTCCTCAGGAACTTCCTGGCCACCACTAAGAATTTTCACTGCTAAGCCATTCTTTGCCGCTGCTAAGAGAGACTCTTTGCTTATGCATTCAGGAGGCTGCCTTGGTACAAAGATTACAGCATCTGTTACCAGTAGTGTCTGAGAACGTTTATGGTAAAAAGCCACCTCTACATATGGCCCAATTCCTGCAAAGAAATATGAAATCAATAAACAATAAAGAGATCTGAAAAACTTCTGTGCTGGCCATTTTTAACCAAGGAAAATGAGAACAGGGAAATATATCACAGTTTATCTTTCTTAACTTTTCAAAATCTTAATAAATATTCTTGCTTTCCTTTTTCTTTTCATTTAATTACAATGTAAAATCGATCATGAATCATTGTTTCATGAGTTAGGCTTGGTCTAATTCTGCTTGGTCTAATTCTGAATGACTACCCAAGCCCATCGGCAGGCCGCCTTGACATCAGTTGAATAAGAACAATTTATTTCACAGCTAGGGGCACACACACATACACACATGCCATAGAGAGAGAGAGAGAGAGAGAGAGAGAGAGCAACAAACAATTGATAGCTAATGCACATTTGACACATTCCCTAAAAACTGACATTCAACTAAGGCTAGAAGAAAAGGCTAAACACCAAAGTCACAGGTACGTTGTCAACTAGGGGCACAACGGGCTGGGCTGTAACGGCCCGACCTGACCTTGTCTTGTCCTTGGGCCGTGGTGGCCCGGCCCAGGCCCTAGTCTTTTAGGCCATGCCGACCAGTCTGGGCAGGGCCAACCGGCCTATTGCACCCCAATTGTCAACTTAATAACACATGCAAAAGCCATCCAATTCAGGGTAGGTCTTTGGGTATTTAGGGTGGTTTTACAGAAACACGTTATTTAGTCAAGTTCAACAAGTAAAATAAACAGCTTCAGGGCTGCAAATGGGGTTGGGGTTGGGATTGGGTCCGGGTCGGGTGACCCTGAACTCTGCAGATTCCGAAGCTAATCAAGACTCTGGTGACCCAGGTTAGTAGTAAGAGGACCCGGCCGGGACCCAAACAGGTCCAAAGCAGACCCTACCTGCCAGTCCACTTTTTCGGTAACCTGTATAGCAGACCTAAACAATTTCACTCAATTATCCTCATAATGCATATTGTAATTCCCTAATATCACATTCAATTAAGGAGTTGAAGAGTGAAAACACTAACCAATTTCAGGTAAGCTTAGAACCTTGTGCTCAATCTCATCAAACCATGGGATAGATGTGTCTTCGTCTCTTATGGATTTGGATCTGAAAATACCAAAGAATTCAAGGGGCAAATTGACCGGCCAACTCCACTGCCTCTGTGCAACATAGACTTTTGCTCTTGGGAACTTTCTTGAGAAGGGCCCGACAAAGATTTTGTGTTCATATGCAAAAGTGGGCAGAACAATGTATTCTACTGGAGCATCCAATTCCTTCACGAGCTGTTGCTCTCATACAAAAGAAAACCATCCCAAATTCAGAAGAGGAAGAAAGACTCAGAATTCAAAATATCCGTCTGCAGTTTTACTCTATTAATACAGAGATGTTTTGGGCCAGACCCACAATATCAAGAAAAGTTTCTAGATTGGCCTTTCTCCGATCCCTATGCCCCAGTTATAGGAGCATATAATTCTTAGATATTTTGATTTATTCCTCAATAAACTACGTATTCTTAGATATTTTGATTTATTCCTCAATAAACTGAGTAACAAATATGTAAGATGTTCTCCTTTCTCCTTAGTGGTGTGCCGTAAATTTCACCAAGAATGAAAACCTGGATGCATTTAAGATTCTCTCCTTTCTCCTTAATGGTGTGCAATAAATTTCACAAAGAAGAAAACCTGGATGCATTCTTCAGTAGGAGCAATAGGTGCATGGATCCATAGTCCTCCAGACTTGAGCTTGATGACAGTCATCCTGATGTTTGTAGTGATGCTGCTGAAACCCAAGGCTTGCTGTTGCTCGAATGCCCATATGCTTCCTCTCACAACCTTAACAGAAACAATAGACCACTATGAATCATTAGAAGACAAAAAATTGTTTGGAGTTGAGAAAAAAGTAGATGATTCCATCGAAATATCTTTGTTTTTTTGGAACTTAGGTATACCCAAGTACGAGAATCCTCGCTGAACTCACTCCTCTCAGTACCTTAATAGAAATAATAAAGCAGTATGAATCATGGAAAAAGAAAGAAAAAATTTAAAATTAACAAAAGAAAAATAAGATTTCCTTGAAGTTGTTGTGCTCTTCATAATTTGGGCCCGGAGGCTTCTAATAAGAGATTTCTGGTTAGAACACAATTGTCCAAACAATATCAGATAGAATTGCTAGGTTCTTGAAACAAAACAAACCACTATTTCGAAGTCTCAATCCCATCATGTTTAAAGAGTCTTGAATGCCCAAGAGCGGTGATAATTCCTGCACCGTATAATCGACGTGCATCCATTAAAATTGCCACCCAAGTTTCCAGAAGCTGCAATTTATGCCCTAATTCATTGCTTCAAAAGCCTTCTCATGATTTGTCTTGTAATAGTTGTAAGCTATCAAAGCATACATAACCATTCTACAAATGGAACTTATACCATGGATGACCAGTTCTAAGATACCATGCTGTCTTTAGTGGTCTCTATTGGCATTTTCATCTGTTGTTGTGATTGTGAAGATTCTTAAGTTGCATGTGCATTATCAAATATAAAGTTTTTTACATATTTAATCCTTTGTTGAAATAGTAAAAACTCAGTTATATGGAAAGTCCAAAAATATTGACATCAAATTCAAGGGCAGGGTACTTGCACAAATAATATTCTGTTTATAATTCTCTCTCCTGTCATGGGTTTCTTATTCATGGTTTTGTTTATCTTCCTTACTCCTACAAAAAATATATACCAAGGATTCGAAAAATGCCGAGGAAATTAAGAATCAGTAGGCTCAGGATCGGGAGCCAAGCGATGCCGGACAAAGAAAGCCTGGAACCACCTGAGTCTCCCCAATTTTTTAAGATCTTTCAATTTTCTTAATAAAAATTGTCCACTCCACTCGGATTCACCTGAATCTGACTTGGGAGCCTCTGGCTCAACGGTCCAACCCCAGGCGGGTTGGATTCCGAGTTTGACTTTCTAAATGGTGAGACGTACTAGTAATTAAGAACATAAAACCAAGAATCAAAATAAAGGAGAAAAAATTAATCAGAATCTTCCCTCTTCTCCACTTGGTTCAATCCCAACCCAACAGTTCCATTTGGAAGGCATCCTAGCCCTATGGTAGGGAGCTCTATGTTTCAAAAGTCAGGTTTAAGCTTTAGTCCAGGTTTAAGCTTGAATCTACCAACCCGAAATAAGATAAATAAAATGGTATATAAACTTTGAATCAGTGTGATGAAGATCGGCCATTGCCTAGGCGAGTTACTTGGCCGATACCAAAATTCGGACTCGACTAAGTATCTACAGGGGCAAAGCACTGCAATAGTTTTTTAAAACAGTGATGATCCTACGAGAACCTCCCAAACCCATGTAGGTAGGACCTCGAAGGGACATGATTTTTCCATCTAATCAAATTGAATGTTGATCTTTTTAGGGTCGTACACGGTCATTTTTTCTTTTTTTTATAAATATAAACATACAAAAAATAAAATACAGGTAATAAAATTAAAATAAAATAAAAAATAACTTTAAAATGTCCAAATATTCTTAAAAAAAGTACAGAAAAAAGGACTTCAAAAAAATTAATCTACAGTTGGGGACATTAAAAAAAGAAAATCTAAAAAGTAGAAAAAAAAAAATAGTGATTATGGCAAAAAAGGCACTCACCAATCCATGCCAAACATATCCAATTCATATAGAAAATATTCATACAACATATCCATATCTTTTACAAATTCTTTGAATTTTTTTGAAAATTGTTTTATGTATCACACACATTTCGGGGACACTGCTTTCAATAATGTTTTAGCAGCTCAAAAAAGCATATATTAATAACAAACCCAAAAGAAAACATTTAAGATCCAGCAGAAAATAGAGAAAGAAGGCAAACCCAAATCACAAATTAGATACACTGGCACAGAGCGAGAAGCAAAATAAGACACAACTGCACTGCACCCAAATTACGGATAACAAATAAAATTTCCCAATTCCATAAACACCACAAGTTGTAGTAGAGAGAGAAAGGGAAGGGTACCTCATACCGGAAGGTTCGGCGATTAAGGAAGGGACCCAAAGGAAAGGGAAACCCAGTGAAGTTGAGGTAAAATCTACCCTTCTTCTTGCTGTTACTATCAGTCAAGGAAGCAAAAGCCTGAACGTTGAACAAATCTCTACTCTCTTTTATACCTTTCACTCTCTTATACTTGGTGGCCCTAAGCTCCCCACCAAGAAATGGCGAGCTGGGTTTCCTTGTAGAGAGAGAATTTTGCAGAGAAGTAGGTTCTTTAGGGGGAGAAACAACCGCACCTGAGATGCTAACAGTGACTACTGCCACCATTTTCTTCGGGAACCCAAATTCCTCAGCTATAAGAGAGAGAGAGAAACGCAGTACAGAGATTAGAGAGAGAAAGAAAGGGGGTTAGAGAGAGAGAGAGGGAGGGTCTGGACTCTGGAGTCTAGAGAGAGAAAGAAGACAAACTAGTTGGAATCTCTGGGAATATTGGACGACACGTGCATTAAACTTTGTCGTGCCACGTGGAGAGAGAGAGAAGCCCAAGACCAGTAGTAACCTCTCTATTTTTATCATCGTATTTCTGCTCACGGTTTCAAATTTATTTATGTGGATGTTGGAGTCCGTCGGTCGTTTAGAGCCGTATGAGGTTAGCATGCGGCCAGCCCGCGTATCGTAGAAATGCTGGCTGGGCAATAAATATATTTTTTAAATATAATTTGATCGTAATTTTTGACATGGAATATGAAAAAATAAATAAATTTTAAAAATTAAAAATAATAATTATATTAAAAAAATATTTAGACCGTTAATTATAGTTGTTTTTAGATGGACCACCTATTTATATTAATATTTAAGATGAATGCTGTATATCTCTTTTTTTATCTCCAACCGTCCATTTTTTAATGGAAGGTTAAGATTGTTCCAATCACAATGTCATGTCTCTATACTGTTTTATTTTTAATTTTTTTTATAAACTGTTTTGACACCAAATTTTGGACATCCATTTTTCTAATAAACTCGCATCAACGAAAAATATAAAAAAATTATTTTGATAAAATAAAATGATCAAAATACTCTTGAAAGATTCAGAATATATTTTGGTTATTATTTTTTATCAAAAAATTATTATTAATATTTTTAATAGATACACTCCAATAAAAAAATGACACATACCAAATTTCATATTAAAAATATTTATATTAAAAAATTAAAAATAAAATACTTTGAAACGCCTGAACTAAAATCAAACTGAAACAGCGAGTGCTCTCTTGATAAGATGATCAAACTGAAACAGCGAGTGGCTCTCTTGATAAGACGATGAGTGACTCTCTTTATACAAAATAAAGAGTTGGATGGTAAGGGGATAAAACTTCCATCTTGTAGGAGAAAGCTTTTTTGTTTATTATATATGATTTAACTTTAATTTTATTATTTTATATGATTTAATTTTTTTAAATTAACCATAAGTTCTAGAGAGGGAAAATCTAGGCTCGGCGCCAGCGACTAGGTGGGGCCACATGTAATAAGTTGGTGCGTGGGTCAATTAAATGGGATGGCAATGTTTCCAAAAAAATTTAATGCACCTCAAACAATTATTTAAGGAGAGAGTTTTTTAACTTACAAGATGGGCGGCCAGTGCGTGGGTGGGTTAATTTCACGTCAAAGAGGTGAATAGATTAACAAGGGTGTAAGAATTATTAAAAGAGTGGAGAAGTTTAAAATCAAATACGTAAGAGAATCCTCTTTAATACGGGTCCGGATCTTGGGTTTGGATTTTGGGTCCTTAGTATCTTTCAAGGTACATGTCCAAATACAGGCCTACAATTAATATTTCGGGTATAGGTATGGATCAAGTGGGATCCGACCCATATCGGACCCATTGTCACTCCTAGAAACGACCCAAGACCCATTGGATATACCCAATATAGGTATAGGTCTGGGTATGAGTCTAATATTTGGACCTGACAAGTCAGGTCCAGGTCTAATACTTGGAATTAAACACTAGTCAGAACCGGATCCAGGTCCAACCAGTAAATTATTGGAGATGAAATAATTCAATACCTATTCGTTTGAATATATTAAGAACCACATACAATAAGATCTCGTTGTCATTTTTCGTTATTAAACGATAAATCCAACGGTTTAAAATCTAATGATAGGTGATTTGTGACATTGTTGTTAATAATACAAATATATGATGGTAAAAAAAAAAAAAACCTCATAATGAGATATGTAGAGGTAAAAAAAAAAAGACTTATAACGACGGTGGCAAATAACCCATATAAACTCGAGACCGATCCAGTTTACTTAGGCCGGTACCATTCAGACTAGGGCCTAGACTGATCCAACCTAAGCCTGACTCATTGCAGCCTTAGAGAAGCAAAGCGCTCTCTCTTGCACATGAGATATGAGATCTCCCTCTAAAGGTGTAAGTTTCTTCTTTACGCGGGATCCGGTGTCAATTATACGTAGAGGAGATGAACCTAGTATGGAAAAATCGATCTGGAATGGTGGGCCAGAAGTGGTTCAACCCGCCTAACTTTTAAAACAGCCACTTCAACCGGCTTAATTGGGCAAGTACCGGATAATTAAAAAAAATATTAAAACATTAAAAAAATATAATATAATATAAAAAATATATTTAAAATATGATTAAAAAGTTGAAGATTAATGAAAAAAATTAAATTTTAAAGAATTGATTTGCACACAGATTTTTTTTAAAATTATCTAAAAAAATAAAAAAATGTAAAAATAAATAATAATAGTAGCCCAACTAATTTCCAATAATTGCCAAAATGATAAAAAACAATGTAAAACATATTACAAACAAAGTCCTTTATTTTTGTGAAATTTTATATAATCTTTTTAGATTTTTTTTTTTTAATACCCAACTGATTTATCAAACCGAAAACTGGTCAGCGAACGGTTCAGATTAATTGAGCGGATAGAATTTGAACGACCCGATTTTTCTTATGCTAGATGAACCACTCCAAAGACAAAGGAGAACAGAACTAGAAGTAAGAATGGACTCCGGAGATCAAGCCATTTGATTTTAATTTTTTAGTAACTTCCTTTTCCTTAAATATAATTTTATTAAAAAAAATTATCAAAAATATACCTCAATTTTTGTTTAATTGAAAAAAAAAACCCTCAAACTTTCATAAACCCTATCCACACTCCCTCAAACTTTCATAAACCCTATCCACACTTTCTTTTTTTTTTTAATTTTGATTTTTTTTATACCAAAATAACCTTCACAATAGACATATTATCATAATTATTACCACATTACGATATTTTATGATAGAGCCTTCACTATAATACGACTACCGTTAAAACTATTTTGGTAAAAAACAATGTCAAAAAAATAAATAAATAAATAAAAAAAGAGAGGTGTAGAAGACATTTATGAAAGTTGAAGTACTTTCCAATTAGACAGAAATTAAAATATATTTCTGATAATTCCTTTTTTTATTAACCTGCGAATCAAATAATTGTGACATTAAATTTCAGTGGATAATTTTGCACCTCAAATAATCGTGATCGTGGCATGAATCAGCTGTTAGAACCATTGATCCAAAGGAAATTGAATCTGCCAAAAATCCAATTACTTCTTTGCGAAATAAATGCAGCTCATCTAATTCAGCTGGATCAGACCAAAACCAATGAAATGAAAAGCCCACAAAATGAGAGAGAAAGCAAAGGGCCCCATATAGTAAAGGAGAAAATCATGAGGGACGGATGGACCTCATATAAAAATAGGAAGAAATAGCCAAAGCCCATGTACAAGACCATAACGAAGCGTAAAACCACACATAATCAACAAGCCATGAACAAAAGCTTGGAACTACAGAGTCTCAAAACACACAACAGTCACCAAAGAACCAAAACCCTAAAAAGTCACAAATAAACAAAAACCCTTAACTTAGTTGCATGCATCTCTCTTCCTGCATATAACAAGATCCATGCTCACCCAAAAGAACCAGCTCTTCCATGCTTTTTCTCCTCATCAGTTTTTGATGAGTAAGGGGCCAGCTCTGCCATTCTTTTTCTTTCTCTTTACTTTTCCCTATTTTTCTTTTCCTTTTTGATGAGGAAGAGCACCACTTACATTCCATGCAACAAAATCCATGATAACTCCCACCATCTTCAAAGCATTAAAACATCACCATTCGGTGACAAACAGGTAAACGAACCCAAAAACATGTAGAGAGAGGATACGACCACAGTTCTTTCTCATTAATTATGACAAAACCCCAAACAGGTTGTTGAGAGAAGCTACCCGAGTTTTCTGTCTCCAAAATGAGACCCTCAGAAAGGCAGGCAAGTCGGCAAATCACTCCATATCAACCAATTTTGCAGAGGGACAAAACAGTCAATAGGGTTCGAAGAAGGCCACCATTGCTCAAGTGACTATCTCTCTGACCAGCCAATCCAAACTTGGGTATGCAAAATATAATATAAGGAAAGATGGCAAGGCAAACAAGACAGTCACGAGAACATAGAGAGCCAAGATAATTGCACTAGCCGGAATCACATACACTATGATGAGAAGCAATATGAGGACCAAGGGAAACTTAGCAGTCAAGTGTACGAAGAAAACCAGTGATTTCCTCAAAGAAGAGTTCAGCCTCTCGACGTTGAGAAGATTAGGGTGCCGGTGACCAGCGTTTGGGTTAGGGTTAGGATTTTGCTCGACACGAGAGTTCAGAGCCCGCCGGACATGGGACACAACTGGGGTGGGCCACCCTGTTTGGTCCCCACAGAGGGCAGTATGGGATTTTGTTCGATCACCATTCATGCTTTCAACCATCCAAAGTAAGAAGAAATTTTTTCGAGGGAATTTGAGAGTACCCTTCCAAACGAGGCGAAATGATAGTAATTGACACCACGGGCAGGAGATGAAAAGGGGGAGCTGCAGGGGCAAATTGGGAAACTTGATGACAGCCCATTGTAAGCCAAGAACACAATTCTTGCATAGAGTGTGGCCACACCATAGAACATAAGGGACATTCTCAACTATGTTGAAAGACTCCCAACAAACAGGGCACTCGAGTCCTTCCTCCCTGCTTGAGCTCGAAGAGGAAGCATCATCATCTGAGCATTCAGAATTAGGGTTCAGAGTGTGGTGGTGGGGTTGATGGGCCTTTAGCCCTAAGGTTCCTGATATAGCACTCGAAGCTAAGCTCCACATGGTTACTTGTTCTAACCCCGACAACTCAACCAAGTCTCTCTCTCTCTCTCTCTCTCTCTCTCTCTCTCTCTCTCTCTGTGGCTAATCAGCGATCAAACCACATAGTTATTGGCTGAATCAAAGAGCTCAAATGGGTCTATTAAGTGGGCAATCGATAACCAATGAATAGAGGCCATAGCTCAAGCTTCACGTTTTCTTGTGATCCAAGAGCATCATTGGATGTGGATTCCCTTGGCATTAGATGCTGCAACGATCTCTGTTGCTGTGAACAGTTACAAACCTGCAGGATTTATTAGGTATAAAACAGAGATAAGAGTGTATATGTTAATGGGGAAAGCCCATCCCATAAGAAAAATCACCTGATTAAAAACTCTCTCTCTCTCTCT